CAAGAGACACAACTCTACATTACAGAAAGTGCATTACGTTTAACACTTACATCATTGCTAGTGATCTAAGGTTGTTACATATAATCCTCCTTAGGTTCCTGAGTAATCCTCTCTAGTCCTGCTGAAATCTCTCCATGGCGAGGATGGCAAACACATTGGTCCAATATTCCATCCTCTGTGTTTTTGTGTTGAACGTAGAGCTAATCATCCAAGGCCTTGACGGGTCCAAATACGCTGTCCCCATCCAAAATTGACATCTCCAAAACCTACACGCGTATTATCAGAAACTATTAAATAACTTCCTGTCGATGAATATTGAGGTCGCCCTCTTAGTACCAAAAGATCTGCCACTGATCTTAAGTATTCTTCATTCATGGTAGCTTTAGCCTTCTTCACCAACTCCAAAGCATATCCCAGTGGATTTTTGCATAGAGGTTCAGCCTTCGAAATTGCAGCTGGAAATGCAAATGCATTGCCATAGTATCCCAAGGGAAGACGTACATTGTTGTGCTTTCCTCGTGCATTGACAATGCATGAAACTCGAACAGCCTCTTTTGGATTAATGTTAAGTGCAAGAGTGCGACATTTCCACAAACAAGCTGTGATCAAGTCAAATGTGGAGCAAGTGGAAATTAGGTGGGGTGGAATCTGTTTTCGAAGGACTCTCATCTCCTTGCAACCAAAGTAGAAAGATCGTTGACCATGTTTGACTGGTACTGGATGCTATGAGCCATCAGAATGACCAATCAGTCTTCATATTCATGATGAGCACATGTATCTTGGTGGATTCGAGCGAAAAGAGCTTTCTCCACACTGGTAGAATAGATGTGCATGTGCGCTCTTGCATCTCCGCGATGGCGTCAGGAACAAGAGATCCAGCTGCATCACACATTGTTGGTTGGGCGCATGCAGTATGAACCTCCAATGTAGACAGTCACCTGCATATTGAAAAATTTTTCTTGATCATCATTTCTGCTAGTTCACAATTCTTTCGAGAAAAGCCAAAAAAAAAAAAAAAAAACCATCTAAATAGATGATCTATTAGGAAACAAAAATTTCATAAAAATTAGGAATAAAATTCAAGGAGATGGAGTCTCTTTAAAGAGTCTCCTGCTGTTGTATTACTTGAAAGATCTTTAAAAGAGGAATTTAGACAAAACGCTTATAGAGGGAAAAATTTAGACAGAAGACAAAGAGGACGCATGACGAATGCAAAAACTAGAGAAGAACGGCAAAGGAAAATACACAATAAAGGTGATGTGAGAGTGGTAGAAACTAGGACTATTGGCAGATACCATGTAGAAATATAATTTCCTCAATTCGGTGTGTATACAAATTTTACAATGTATAGGGTTAAACATAAGGATTGTAGAAGAAAAATTAGTTTCGAAAATAATGAAAAGGTCTCATAATCTTTTCTTTCAAAACCACCTAATGACTTTCTTTAATTATAAGAACAAAGAGGCGTGGTAGTATCGTAGATAAGTTCAAGTTTGGGTGTGGTGGTGGTATGATAAATTTTTGTTTATGAAATGGGTTGCCAATTTTATGAAAAAGTTAAAAACAATTGCTGTGCCACCAAACTTCAACTTATTTACAATATTGTTAGTGCTTTCTTGTTTATATCCTTATTTGTCATTAAAAATATCATATGTTGTTGATTGCACTAATTTCTTACAAAAAATCTATGGGGTGTGTATGCGATCTTAACGCAAAAAACACTACTCGTACCCTTAACCTACTTCAATTTTTTTGTAAAGAATTAATGGCTATGACCAAATATGAATATGAAAAACTAAATAACATGTAATTGATAATTAATTGACTCACCTGAATCAGCAGCAAAGGACAATCAATAATTCCATCAGAGCCTGGAAAATTATATAAGAACTCCTCTAAAAGTGGACAAGGGGGTAGAATTTTGTCTCCTAGTTGCTCAAGTGTGACATCAGCAGAAGCCTCAACGAACAAGATACTTCACCATTGCATCACCACGAGCTTTCTATTAGGCCCTTCCCTAAGCCTTCAGCTGGGGTAGTATACACTAATGCTCTACTTAAGGCTTCCCTAATTGCCTTAACGGGATTACGATTTTTATTAAGTGAAGGGTTGTCTTTGTAACACATTATGATTGGAATCTGAACTCTCAAGCTTTCTTGGTCGTCAATATCTGAGAGAAACTTTGTTTCTTGAGGCGTTGACTTTGCCGGAGTTATAAGTTCCGGTTGCAATCGTTTCACCTGAAGTACTGAGAATGACATCATTTCAGTAACGAGCTTAAGAACCAGCAAAAGATCAAAGGATTTGAAACTTTTATTTTGTGGTATGCATGCTAACTAGTTAGTGCTTAAGTACTTATATAGCGTTATGCAGATGCTCTAGGGTTCCCGAATCTTCCGTCCAAGTTTCCACCTGTTGTGAATGTGATTGTTTTCCTTTCCATTAAAAATGTTGTTAGAAAGAAACGTTTAAATCACGCAATCAACATGGACTGCAAAGAAAAACATCATGTTGAGAGGTATGTGCATGGGACAATTCACAGTTCTTACCACAGATTCGCACATATACATTAATACTGAATTTCATTTCAACATCAGAAAACTGAATACTAACAGGGATATGAGGACAGGTGTGACTTTTGTAAAACATCGATTAGACGTCTGCTATAAAGGCAAACATTGTTGGAAGCACGTAAAGTGTTGTTGGGGCTATAAAGGAAAACATTGTTGGGAGCACGTCAAGTGTTGGGCTATAAAGGAAAATATTGTTAGCATATTAGCACGGGAGAATATTGTTTCACATGGCGTGGAGCACGTCAAGTGTTGGGTTTCATACTTAAGATAATATGTTCTGATATCACAACGAAAGTTAAAGTTCTATCGCCATTTAGTATTGTAGTCTAGTGGTATTCCTCTTCACTTATAACTGAGAGATTTTAGGTTTAATTCTCGTCAAAGGCAAATTTGAACAACATTATTATTAGTCTATTGTGAGTCTAAACCCGTCATCTTTCTCTCAGTATAGATAATGTCGTTTGTTAAACAAAAACAAAAAAAGTAGTTGAGGTTCCATCATAAAACTAATTGACAATATGAAGAGTAACTTAATTACTTATATGCACATACAAAATCTTTTCCTTACCTAATATGAGATCTATACTCTCAACATTTCATTGTTAAGCAAATATGTAAAAAAACAAAATGGAACAAATAATTCGATCACTTGACAAAATAGAACTCATTGAAGAGTGAAGACAATATTATGTTTGTTAAAGATATGACTCACTGAAGACAATATTATATTTGTTAAAATGGAAATGGAGCTTCTGATTACACCCAACTTTTATCTCCTCAACCAACGAACTCTTTTTACTCTACAAGATTTTAAAAACTTAACATCTACTCTCCGTACTCACCGAATCTTCCAAAATTACCCCTTCCAAATCTTTCTCCATCTTACACGATATATCTTCTCATCCAACAACCTCCCCTTGAATATGGGGCTGCCGAACCCACTTTCCTCCATCAATATTCGGTTCTTCATCAAGCTATGCACACTCTTTTGAGAATTCAACTTAATTATAAGGAATATGAAACCAGCAACTCTTTGCAACTACTTGTGAATTATGTCTTTATTTTCGTTCATTTAAGTTGGTGGTTAGCCATCCAATTGTTCTTCCCCATCAATTTTTAGAAGAAACCAAACCAAACTAGACTCGAGTGTTCATATATTCATTGGAGTTGAATATAACAATACGTAAAATTCCATGACTAAGAAGTAAGAAGCCAAATTGTATCAAGACTTTGTAACAGCAGCATGAAGGTCAGGAGTCGACTTGGAGGAGAAGATCGCGAGTGGGTTCAGCTAGCACTGGTTAACCAAACCCCCGATTCCATGTTCATGGTTATCGGCTAATCCTCAACTCTTATGTTCGGTGCTTAACTTCCGAACATTGAGCTTGTTGTCAAATTTTGTGTTTAGCATGTTCAAATCCATGATTCAATCTAGTTGTATTTTATTTAAGAAAATATAAACAAACCCAAGAGGATTTCAGAGAAAAGTGATAGCATAGGGCAGAACATTGCAGCTCAAACGTCACTTACATACTTCAATGATTTAGGGTTTTGGTCACGATACCACCTTACATCTCATTTAAATTAGCTAGTTTACAAAAGCCTTCAAAACCCCAGTTGTTCTAAGCTAATCTAAACCACCAAAGCAAACCTATCTCAGCCCTACACTTGTAATTTTGGACTGAGTCAACATATTTGGCCGTTACAAATTTAGAAAAAACTAAGCCATTACTTTTGTTTAATACAAAAAATTGGAAGCTAGAAATCAATTTAGGCACCCAACACTCTCCTGCAAATTGCTTTTAGTTTTGACACCAAGAAAATCCCTGAGGTATACAAAACTCTCTTTTAGCGTACCCTTAGTAAATATATCAACAGTTTGATCTTCATATTTGCAATAGAGTAATTCAATCAAATTATCTGACGTACAAAGGATCTCTAATAAAGTGATGATTCCTCTTGACATGTTTTGTTTTTTTAGTGAATCAGAGGATATCTGGTTATAGCAATTACAAAGGTGTTGTTGAATTTTAGTGATATAGCATCTACTTTGAAAAGGTAGCTGGGTCGAGGAACCCAAACCCAATAGATAAATAATCTCAACTAAAATTCCAAACGATGATTCAATTACGGTTTCAATCATACTACGTAACAGTGAAGAACAAAATGAAATAGAGAAAAAAGAACAAAAAACTCACGATATAATTTATGGGCACACAACCGATTAAAGAACCATTGAGAAATAAGTACTTTTACAAGTGTTGACCCTAAAAACTGCCAAGCCTACGTGGCGCGTAGGCCGAGTAACTAATAAGCTAACTACGTCATTCGGTTGTTTGCAGGTGTGCCAACTCGTCGACCGAGGCGTAAAATTTATTGATGTTGCGTTGAGTGCGCTGCTGACTTCTGAATCTCGCGACTGCGGCCGAGGAATGAACACTCTCGGCCTTCGAGTTCTAGAGCCTGAAGACAAGGCTGCTAGTTCTGCGAAGTTCAATATCAAATTCGGCTTTCAATGTGCCGAATGTAATAATTTGTAACACCCCACTTCGCCGAAAAAGGCTAATGATATAACCTTTACCAATAAAGATTCAAAAATCCTTCTCGACCGAGACTGGGATAGATAACCAGTCGGCCCCGTCACAATGTTGTTTATCCAAACTGAAGGTGCTTCACGGTCGACTGATTCTACGGCAACAGTGCTGTTTATCCAAACTAAAGATATTCGCCGGTTGCTTTCATAGTGCTGTTTATCCAAACTAAAGATGTGTTGGCGAAAAAGAAAATAAAAAATCTCAAGATGTTTGAGAGGTTTCGCGTAGAGCGAGGGTTTGCGCAGGGCAGTTTGTGTGTTAAGTTGGAGATCCCTCTTCCGTTGCCATTGCATCTGTATTTATAGGACTGATGTACTTGTTTGGCACGGCCTGATTCTCTAGTAGAGTCCTATTTCAAATTCCCATGTATCTGACGTGACTTGATCTTTAAAGGATTTGATCTTTGGTGACGTGGCTTTACCACTTGCTTTCCTCCAACCATCTTCACGACACCAACCCAAGAAATATGCATTAAAAACCTAGCCTACCTCATCATCACAACACCAAAAAGACCTACGTTCCTAGGCTTGCTTTAAATGAATATTAAATTCATTTTATCTCATAATTTCATCCCATCCATGCATCATGACTTTTCACACCTCTTCTACCATGCATGCATCTCACCAAACCATCTTGATCGATTCTGAACTACGTGCATAACAACATTTATCACCCACTTTTAAATGGATAATAACAATAAAATACTCTGATAGAACTGCGCTACATTGTTCTGTAAGAATCACTTTTTCAAAATCAACGAGCTTCTTTTTCTTTAAGCAAACATCCTTAAAAAACTTGGCATAAGATGGAATGTTCTTGATTGCATCAATTAATAGAAGATTAATTTGAACTTTAGCTAAAGTCTTCATAAAATCTGTCAATTGTTGATCTTTAACTTTCGACTTCAACCTTTCTGGATAAGGCATAGGAGGCACATAAACATGTTCTGCAGTTTTTGTGGTAGCTTTTGCAGTATTTTCGGATTTATCTTGTGGCTACCCAGAATCTGTTGAAATTACAGAATCTGCAAAAATTGCAAATTTAGTTTGGCGCTGTTCTGCTGCCCGCGAATTTCCAGCAGAATTTTCATATCTATTGTCATAACTTTTGCCAGACAGTAAGGTCCGTACAACATTGCATTCTTCTCGTCCTCTTAGATTAGGTACTGTTTGATTAGGAAATGTACCCGGTGCTTTTTCTGAAACCTGCAATGCAATTTGCTCAATTTGTTTTTCCATATTTTTCATTGATGCATGCAGATTTTAGATTTCTTGACTGGTAGTATTAGCTAATTTTTCAATTGCGATCTCCCAAGTAGCCTTAGGTGTAGCAGGTTGATGTACCTGCTGTTGAAATTGAGGCCTAGAGTGCTGATCTTTGTCCCACTTTAAATTAGGATGATCTCTCCAACCTGGGTTGTAGAAATTTGAATACGGGTCGTATCGGGGACGTTGAAAATTATTAAATGAATTAACCTGCTCCGCTGTAAAACTCCGAATAAACATCTTTATGTGGACAGCTCAAAAAATCATGATTTGTCATGCTGCAAATGCTGCAGGCAGCTTGTAAAGGCTGCTGTACAACAACATGTGAACCCGAAATTCTTTGTAATAAAATGTCAAATTTTGCATCAAATCTTTCAAGCTTTTTCTCCATTATTACAATTTGTGCCGACACATATGGAGAACCGTTAGACATCTTAAAAACAAACCTAGATTGTTGCTGCTCAACTGTCCACTGTTGTGTATCTACTGCCATTTTTTCAAATAATAAACAAGCTTCTTATGCAGTTTTATCTTTGTACGAACCCCCGCATGAAGCGTTGACAAGAGTTTTTGTAGTCATATTTAACCCTTTGAAAAATATATGCATTTGATGAGTACTGTTAATACTGGAATGTGGACATTTTCAAATCAACTCTTTGAACCGCTCCCACGCATCATGAAACTCTTCATTTGGTTTTTGGGCAAAAGATAAACTCTTGATTTCTCATGTCAAGAGTCTTTGAAGCTGGATAATACTTGTTCAAAAATTTTTCACTAAGTTGGGCCAAAGTACTAATGCTTGCAGATGGGAGTGTGAGGAGCCATGTCCTTCCTTGCTTGATCTCTTAGAGTGTATGGAAACAAACGGAGCTTAATAGATTCGACTGAAGATCCTCTCACCAA